TTATCTCCGTGCAGGGCAGCCCGAGGGAAGCGCCCGCCTGGCTGGAAAGTCGTGTGTGGCCTGTCTTCCAGGAAGCACGTCCTCAGCGATGTGTGCTTCACGATTCCTCCCCTTGCTGGGCACTGCAGACTCCGAGTGGGATTTCGTGGTTTGGCATGGATTGAGCTCGGAAGGCATGGGCTGCTTTCCCAAGCCACCAAAGCGCACACGGCAGTCAAACCCTTTTTGGGACAGCTGCGCCTTTTCGTGCAGTGCTTTGGGCTCCGTCTGCTGCATGATCCTCTCCTGGAGAGATGGACACAAGACTCGAGGAGCTCAGCAGCTCCCGTGCTTGGCAGGAGAGACAGTTGGAGATGTTTGCTGCCTTCTTTCCGTTTCCTCTTCCGAGGGCTGGAAGGGTCAGCTCGTAGCTCCCTTCTCTGGCACGCTCTGCCCTTTGGCACGTGTTTGATTCACCCGATTTCCTTCTGCAGGAATCGGGCAGTATGTGTGAAAGGGAGGACAGGACAGAAGACGGGAAAAGGAGGAAATCTTGGGGACAGATGAAGGGCAGTTGCACATGGAGTCTGGCTCCTGGAAGAGGACGTGGGGTCCCCAGCAGCAGATAGTGCCTGTCAGTACTTCCTTTTCGGGCTAAGACGACAGGCGCCCTCCAGTCTCCTGTAGGATCTACCTGATTTACACCAAATGCTGCGGCTGCTGTTTTGTGAACCCTTCCAGCTGCTCTTAAAACATTTTGTATCCTCGTGCACAACTTCCCACCATGTGTCTTCCCACCAGGGTTAAGACTGTCCGTAGGCCCGTTCGGTGTAAGTGCAGTTGTGGCAGCCCGGTTCGGAGCGCTGCACGGCTGGAAATGCAAACCTTTGCAACGGGAGAGGCTTTCCTGGGTGTAACGTCCTGCAGCAGAGCACATCTGCCCATCTTCTGCTGCGTTGCTGGGCGTGGTGGTGTGGGTGACACATCCTTAGGATTAGGGTCCCTTCCGTGCAAGCGTCGGGTGACAGAGTTACGGGCAGGCGGCCCTTTGCTCCGAGATAAACCTGTGTTACTGCTTCCGAGTGGCGGCTCGGAAAGGCACTTCCCTTTCTGGAAAGGTGAGTCACTGTTTGAGCAGATCCTGCCGGGTGGCCGTAAAGCCAGAGACACCGTAAAGGCTTTGGGGCTGCTGTGCCATTGCTTGGAAGGAGCAAGGATGGGTGTTCCTCACCGCTGCTTCCCAGGCAGGGCTCTGGCCCACAGTTGGGAGCCCAAGGCACCGTGCGGCCCCTGGCAGCCCTCCTCTGGGGTGGCATCACTTGCTGAACCTCTGCGCCGCTCCGGTGCTTTTTGCAGCTCCCGGAGCCCCCGGGGTTGGCACTCCTGCCCTTCCATGGGTGGGTGAGCCTGTGGAGGAGTTGGCCGTGCTGCCGGGTTATGGGCAGTGCCAGCCCGGAGGTGTAACTGAAAGTGGCAGCGAAGCTGCTGAGTGTGTGCGATGTGGGGGCGGGGAGGAGGTTACAGGAACCAGCGGTGAATCGGCAGCTTCTTACTCAAGGCATTCTTGGAACTGCTCTGGGGCTGAGTTAGGAAACCTGCTTCTATTTTAAGGACGAGGTGGTTTTTACGCTACGGTTTCTTTGTTGTAGTCTTCGTGTGACTACAGTAGGGATGAGCCATCGTGAGGGACCTGCCCAGCGCCGTGCTGAGCGCTCGTGCCATGCTGAGTGGAGAGCAAATGCTTCTTGAGTCCATTTGCACACAGGGAATGGCTGCACGGACTCTCCTGGGCATTGTCCTGGCTCCCCAGGGCATCCCCAGCTGTTCCCTGCTGCCGTGCTGCAGTGGTGTGCTCGAGAGCAGCGTGGCCGTTTCATCGTGGGCTTCAGAAGCCGTCCCGGGCTGTGGCACCGCGCTCGTGCTGTGGCACCGGCGCAGGTGTGTGTGCACTGTGCGGGGAGCGGGCCCGGGGGTCCGGCGTCCTGGCAAGAGGCTGATTTCACCTTCGGGTGGCTCCTCAGGAAGTGAGTGGGTGCAATAATCTGCACGTCTCCTGTGAGTCTTTTGTTTCGTGTGGACTCACCTGTCGGCGCAGGGAGGTGCCTCTTCGTGTCACTGTCTTGCGTAGTCTCGGGAAGGAGTTGGTCACTGTGCGACCACGTGGCTCCCAGGTCTGGGACCCACTAGCCCAGCCCGGCTCGTCTGCCTGCTGCTCCCTTCTTGGTGTAGGTTTTCCTTTACCGAAAACGTTTGCCTTATTTCAGTGTTTCCGAGAGATGCCATGGTGCAAAATGACCCCTAAGTTAATGGCAGCGACTCATCCTGGGTTACTTTGGGGGCCCCCCAGGCGGTGTGTCCCCAGGGTGGCGTGGGGCGTGCTGCAGCCCCCGGGTGGGGGCACATGAGGTTGGACAATGCAAGCTGTGCAGGGGTACCCCAAGGTCCACGCGAAGCTTTACAAGGTGTGCCAGACCATTTGGGAGGCAGCTCGCTTTGTGTCCTGATCTCCTGTAGTTCCTGTAATCCGACATGTTTAATTCATTCTGAGTGGAGCGACCGTGTGAGGCTGCCCCAGCGTTTCCTTTGTCTGCCACCCTTCCTCTCTTCTCCCGTTTTCCTGCAGGCCTGTGGCTGTACCTGGCCGGGAGCGACCTCCCCTGCCTGACTCTGATCGGCTCCCCGAATTTTGGATATCGATCAGTCCATCGGGACTTGGAAGCTCAGGTTGCGATAGTGACGGAAAGTAAAGCTTTGCAGCAGCAGCTCCATCAGGTAAGTGGCTGATGGTGGGGAGATAACGTGGATGTTGTGCTGCTTGGTCACACAGGGGATGCTGATGACGCAGTTGCAATAAAAACCTACAGCTACAATAATTCAAAACCTTCTTGAGCATAGGAAGTCTCGGGGAGCTGTCAGTTAAGTGACTATTGATGAGATGCCTGCTGCAAGTGCCCAGTTCTGGGAAACGCAGGCCGTAACGGGAAAGAACATGTGTCCCCAGTGAACTCGAGTGTCGGGAGTGCTCAGCCCTGGATGCTGAGAGGCAGCGTTCGGAGAGGATCTGCCGGCGCTCGGCTCGCCGATCGCAGCGGGTCCTGGGGCCTGGTCCTCCCTATCTGGGCATTGCCAGGGTTGTGCCATGCTCGAGGATAATGAGGGCCTGTCTCGGACTTCTGCAGGACTTTGCTTCTCAGGCGTTCGGGGAAGCCTGTGTGGCAATATAGATGCCAGGCAGTTCGCTTTTGAGCGGCTGCCCGCCGGCTGTGGAGGTCAACAAAGGCAGGAGATGTTAGTGTAGTTTCTGCAGTAAGGGGCTTTCTGGGCTGCTTGGATTGCCGGTGAAGTTATATGACATAATAAAATTGTGAATAATAAGAAGACACTATATAATCTTGACACACCAACATTTTTCAGTGATTTAATATTCAGTGTCCCACATTTTGGGGTGTTTTTTTTTTTTGTTAGGCAGCTTGGACAGCTTCTCTAAGTCCTGTCGGATTCTCCAGCTGACAGTGTCTCAAGTAATTTCTCGTGTAGCACTCGAGAAGAGCAACAAAGCAAATTGGTTTGGTGCCTCTGTGTGTGACTTAGGGATCTCAGAAATGTGTCCTGTTAAGCCAAGTCCTGGCATAAGAAGGCACAGTTGTCTTCAAGATCAATGGGAATTGCCCTATTGCATCAGGGCTGTTCCACAGGATGAGTCAGAGCATATCTAATCAAAAACAATTCTATTACTGGAAGAGTTACTTGAATATTTCAATTCATATCTTGCCTTTACTTGTTTCTAATGGAAGGGGAGGATCAATGAAAATGACAAAGGAATTTTCCTCAAACAGTGCTGCAGTGATCTAATGGAAAGGGCTTTAAACCATTCCCATTTGCTGGAAGCTGCTTTTGAGACTGGCTGTTTGTTTACGGTTCTGTGACCTTTGTTGAGAAGATTTAATACGTTACTGGTGCGCTGCCATGGAGTCACTTTGCCTGTGTAACATTCAGTTCCATTTTAAAGATGTGTGATGAGATTTGGGAAGAAATTTGAGTGGTCTGGGTATCTTTGGCTGCTCCACTGAATGAACTGAGCTTCAATTCAGACAACTGGTCTTGCTTCCAGTGATCAGACAACCTCACTGTATCAGATGACTGCGGTTCAGAATCTTCATGGCAGGGCTGACTGTAGCTCTTGGTGCATTAGAGGTTTCTAAAATTAGAATAACTTGACACATGAATGTGTTCCTTCTGTTACCGGTTCATCTTTTTGGGGTTACTTTCCAGTGCTTGGTTCCTGCCTCCCTGTTCCACCCTGAATTTAGACAGTGCAGAGTAGCTTCTGTTGTTTGTGACAGCTTAGCTAATGAAGAAGAGATGGTGACCAGACTTACAGTAGATGGTCTGCTCCTTGTTTGCCTGCAAATCTGGGAACCCAACTGCCTTTGATAAGAAAAGCACTTCTACCTTTGATCGAACAGCTGCTTTCACGTGCAACATGAGCACGTATTGTCATCGTGATGGTTCATTTCCTCCTTCAGCAGCGTTGCGTACACGCTGGAGAAGCCCGAGTGTTTCTGGTAATTTAGTTGAAATCACGACTGCGTATTCATTTGAAAACACCAGGCTCGAGCTGTGTCTAGAAAGAGCTGCGTCAGCCAGTCTCTGGAGATTCTGGTAAGGTTTCCTGTGCTGGCAGTTGCAGCGAGGGATTTAGGATTTTTCTGAAACTGAAGCTCTCTTGCAGCTGTGGGGCACAAAAAGGCAAAACCTTCTGCCTTTCGCTCTCTGTAGAACTGCTGGTTCTCGAGGTTCGGTCAGTGAGCGGCTGGCAGCAGCAGTCCCAGAGGCTGCGGCAGTGGGCGCCAGGGACAGATCCTGTGCTCGGTCCTGGGAGGTTCAGTTGTTAGGGAGTGGTGCTGCATGGAACAGGGCTCCTGTGTCCGGGCTTGTGGGAGGAACGATGCCTCCTTTTGGCAGGATCCGTGGCCGGTTCTATCTGAGAATTCACTTTCCTTAAAGGCCATTATATAACTTAACACTTAGGATTTACTGTGATGATGTTTCTTTTCCTGTACAGGAGCAGGAGCAGCTTTACCTCTGCTCAGGTGTAGTCTCATCATCAACATTTGAGCAGCCAAATCGTTATGTGAAACTGTGGGTGAAGCTGGTAACACCGCTGATCAAGAATTTCTTTTGAAAAAAAAGAAAAGTTGCTGCTTTGGGTGAGTTTTCTGCCACTCTTACAGGGAATTTGTATTGCACTGACCACACTTAATAAGGGTGGTACTCTGTCGTGTGGAAGAAATTGATGATGGGAACATCGATGATGTGAAAAAAACCAAGCACTTCCCTTTTCTTCTGAGTTTCTTGCCACTGACTAGAATCATTGCTCAAGGTTGGTATTGGGTTTCAGCTACTGGAGTTTCTGGAAGGGGCAATGCAAGAGAAGCCGTACAGGGGTATTTCCCATGCATAGAAATAAACTAAGCACAGTCCCTCTCCACAAAATTCTGAAAGAGACATTTCAGAAATAGAAGTTTTATCTTGATCAGCTAGTAGAAAACATTGTTGGAATATTTAAAGTGTTTTGTCTTCTTTTTATCTGATCAGTGCTCTGCTTTGTCCTTGTAGATGTTGGTTAGCAGGGGCAGTTGGTTTTGCTTTTCTGCTTCGTACAGCGTCCTGGATTTGCCTGGAGCTCCCCTGAGCTTCATGGAGTCGCTCTCAGGTTTCGTCTGTGCTGTGCACGCAGTCCATGCAGTTGGCACCGCAGGGTGTGCCCGTGGTGCTGTGTTCACACATCCGTTTAATTTACATAGACGTGGGCTCCTTCTCTGGGGTGTGTGTCTGGCTCCTTCGTGTTAGGATGTGTTACGAGTGTCTTTCATGAGCTGTGGAGAGGGCACGAGAGGGCTTTTGGTGCCAGTGTGATTGCTGGGTGGTGCTTGCTGGTGGGAAGCTCAAACCATAACCCCTGCCCTGCGGAGAAGTTGGTGGGGAAGCCAGATAGAAACGTGTGAGAGCGCAGGCTTGGGCTGCCCCGCAGTCCCACTGGTGGAGTCCGTGCAGTGTGTTCTGACCCGTTATTGCCAGCAGAAGGGATTTCTGGCACCTGGAAAGGCTGAAGGCAAGTGTAAAGCTTAATGGTAATTTATTCTAAACGTGACTACTTCATAAGGAAACAAGCAGCTTTACTGGCCTCCCGTTGTGGCTGTTCTTACCACCAGCTGCGAGGGCAGTTTTATGCCCCTGTATTTTAGAACTAATCATTCAGGTATTTCATGGGGTGAGATTTTGGTGAATTATTTCATGCTAAAGAGAGAGGCAGATCTAAGCACCCTAATAGGCGTTACGGCTGACAGATTATTTGTTGTGAAAGAAACAGACTGGATTCTACAACCTAGAATGGAAAGGAACACGCTTCAGAGACTGATCTGTTTGCAGCTGGACTTTCTCTGGGTTGTATATGTTGACGTGTGGGAGAACTGGGCCAAATCTGTGTCTGCCTTCTTCTGTCTGGCCTAAACGGATACATGCTTCCATGCAGGACTATGTCATGCACAGGCTTGATGAATTTCTGCTCACAGCTAGCACTGAGCGATCAAACAAGTAGCTGTGGAAAGACAGAGAGCTGTGAGAAGGAATAGGATCTGAATAGTTGCATGCAATTGTTCCGTTTGGCTTCCTTTGGTGGTCTGGCTCTCAACCAGCACTTTATCAGAAACCACCAGCTGAAAACCAGTATCCGTCATGAGAAACTCCATGTATTTTAAGAGCAGCTTCCACACGACAGCAGTTCCAGCAATGTTTTTATTCATACTTTGCTAAAATAGTTCTGGTACAATCAAACTTAGTCTAAGTTACACAACTTTGAGGGTTTTTTTTGCAAGTTTGCTGTTTTCCATAGTCACAGTTTAGATCTGTAAGAGCAGAGCGACGGCAGCCAGGATCCATTTAGCAGCTTTTTCTTTTGTCTTTAGGTTAAAGGTCCAGACATAGGTGGGACCTCGCATCCGTGTCTTATAGACGGGACATTCATAGACGTTCTTGGTGTCCACGCGGTCCACAGGGATGGCTCTGATGAAGATGACTGGCATCATGGGTGTCAACTCCTTCAGTCGAGCGTCTGCGATCACACCGGAAACAACGTCCCATCGAGCGCCTGCAACATGATGAAGTTGTCAGGGTTCCAGCTACCAGTGGCTTTTTCACTTAGAGGGGGCTCTTTTCATAACTACTTATGAGTGGGAGGGATTTGCTCTGGCAGCGCCGTCGAGGATGGAGCGTGAAGGTTGGGCAGCCATGGCTTAGTGGTCGTTAGGGCTAACGTTATCGTGACACTGTGACTCATGAATGCGTTTTGCCTTACTGTGTCTGGGATGTCTAAATAAATTCTGTCCCCACTCATCCCTTCAGAATGGGTTTGCATGAAAGCTGCATAGCTGAAGGTAGAACTTGGCCGTGGTGGGAACTACGATAGCTGTCCTGTGTGGTCTGTGCCCTTGTTGAAGTGGACCCCTTTGGTGCTCCGCTGAACCTGCCATCTCATTCCCCCTCATTTTTTAACAGTAGTTACTTCAGGTTCTGAGTATCCTGATTTGTCTTACACAGCAAATAAGAGTGTAATGTATTTATTCACTAGAACCACGTAGCTTCAGACAACCCAGACCTCAGGCTCCGAGTTTCCAGAAGACAGCTTCTGGTTTGTGAAACCCTGAACTGGCCGGGTGCTGCCCTCAGCTGGCGCGGCCGACGGCAGCAGGGGGGAAGGCTCCGCTGCTCGGAGCTTTTGCAAAAGCTGTACAAATTCAATAAGCCAATGAGTACTAACACCTCTCCTGTTTGCAAGAATTTTTAAGGCTGAGCTGGGCTTTCTCCGTGTCTGAAACACGAAAGATGCAGTCTTTTACCTTCCATGAATAATCCATGCACATAGGAGCCTTCCCTGGGTGGAGCTGTTACATCCTCGCGGTTTTTCTTAGTCACTTCCACTGAAAGACACATCTTGTCCAGTGGCCATTTGTTTTTTCTGGCCATGGACTGCATGATAGCGGTGAGGAAGGACTGGGGGTTGAAGAATCCTGCCAGCCACACTGTTGCAGGCAGCGCAAAGTCCGTTGTCCAGACTTCCAGTTCCTGGAAAATCACAAGAGCAAAGTACTTGAGAGTGAAGCACGGCCTTGGAGCAGCTTTGAGATATGATGTGACAAAGAGCTGATGCTTCGCTGTGTCTAACACGACCTTCGGGTGATATTCCAGAGGGGCAGACTGGGATGGGAGGTGTCTAATGGACGAATAGCAGACTCCACTGCAGCAATGAAATTAAACTGTTCATTTGGATTGCAGTAAATACTGCTGCTGGTTTTTGTAACAAAGCCACACTGCAAATAGATGGTTTTATTAAATACGTTTTTTTTTTTCTTCTGAGACCTATAAAGTTATGATGGGGTTAGCTAATCTTCTTTTGAAATGGTGACATACTCTAATGGGGAACCCTCTGCAAACTTGTGTGCTCATTCTTGGGGTAACAGACCATTTCAGATACTCCAGGCTGTTTACGTTAATACTGAAAAATAAACCAGTTAACCACTGTACACTGGTGGAGGTGACTCCTGGTTTTCTGTGGTATCCACTTGCTCCCTAAGCTTAAACTTTCACAAGAAATCTGCTCACCCTGATGCGAAGGAGCAGGTCTGCGTACCAGGCTCCTAAGCTAAGAAGAGAGGGATAGGCGTAACGCGTCCAGGACTCGGGAACGTTGTCGTAGAAGAGAGCGTTCGCCAACTCTTCCATGTCTGATGTGATCGTTAGCTCTCCCTGCAAAAAAGAGAAACGTTGGGGCAGTTTCATCTGAGGAGAGCGAGGCTGGGGGAAGGTTTGGTCTCGTGCTCATGGCGAAGCAGGAGGCTGGTACCGCCTGGCCGTACCCCGCGCGGTGGGATACGTCAGGGCGCGAGCGAGGGTGGCCGAGCGCCTGTGCCAGACAAGGTTTGAAAGGAGCAACAGCCATGTGCAAATCGTGGGGAGTTACCCGGTAGGGAGAGGTGCTTTCCAGGCAGCTGCCGCGTGCGTACCTTTAGGCCCAGCTCTAATTCTTTCAGAGAGCGCCTGATTTCGTGGGTCAGGATGTTCATTCTTTCACATTCCTGGAAGGCAACTACGACATACGGGGTCTTGTCCGCTGCTCTGGCCATGATCTCCACCATATTGAATGGCTCCGGCAGCCGCTCGATGATCTCGTCTAGGACTGACTTCACCTGGAATCAACATGCCATAGGACTGCTCTTAACTAAGGACCAGTGTTGCAAGTTAATAGTTAATTAACTTACTAAGATTTTTCTTTTTCTGCTTTTGTGTTTGCCTGTGCTCGTGTCCATTGTGTTGGGCCCACACCTGTCCCAGCCCCCGAATCGTCACCGTGGGGGTAAAACCTGGCTTACCTGTTCCTCCCGGGAGACACCCGAGCCTCCTCCAGCGTCCGATTCTTTGGGCTGCATTTCCAGAACTGTCCGAAAAAGCCTGTCGGAGGTGACGGTCAGGAAGCCGATCTCCGCGTTGGGGTGGAGGCCGTACAGGTAGGGGCTCTCGGGCGGCAGGTTGTCATCGACGTACTGGTGGTAGCCCTGGGAGCGGGCGGGCACTGGTGTTAGTTGAGCAGGTACAGACAAAGGAGTTTTGCTTCAGCCTCGAAAACACTCATCGCTTCCTGGTGGTGGTGGTGCTTCACAGCCGGCGGTGCTTGTTCAGGAGGGTTTTTACTCATGTCTTACCTAAGTTTTTCCCTTACCGCCTCAGCCACAGGAATTATTTTTGCAGTGATTCCGCATGTTTCCATGGGATTGAAGCTTCTTTTCCCCCTACGCTGCCCCTCGGTAGCGTGGGGGAACTCTGACTAGTGCGTGTTTATCCAGAGCAGTGGTTTCCCACAGCAAACTGCCACGTTAACCTTTCTTACCTTGTAATCCAAGCTGGGAGGGATCAGAAACCCTGGAGCTAAGTACACTTCCCCTTCCAGCATCTCCGCGTGGATGTACTCGTTCAGGTAGGTCCGACACAGCCGGCGGTCCCAGTCGTCCGTGATGTGCCCCCCGTACATGATTTCGCCAAAGAGGTACCGGAGATCATCCCATGGTACCTGCGAGGAGGGGCTCGCCGTGGGGTTTCCCTGTGGCTCCCCAGAAGTCACTGCAGCCCACGGAAGCTGCACACGGCTGTAGAGCGATGGCTTCGGGGTTGGTCTGTCCAGGGAAGGGACGGACCCCGGACCCACAGGGGTGCGGTGACAGTGAAGGGGAGCAGGAGGGGGGACCCTGACTCGAGTATCTCTTGGGGTCACCCGCAGATTTCACCGTGTCCCAGTAGGGACACAGCCATCCCTACTTTGAACCCCCGTCACCCCAGCGTTATTCCAATCGACGCTGATCGTTTCTGTGGGGCCAGGTGAAAGCAGGACTTTCCTCAGGGTGAGACCTCAGTCCTGCTCGTTGCACCTTCACTCTCGGGGCAGGCTTTGCCTTTCAGGTGGCAAGTAATTTAAAAAAAACAACCCACCAAAGCCCCAAGGCATGAGCCAGAGCGGGCACTGGTGCCAGCCTGGTGCTAAGTGCCCACTTTCCACCCAGCTCAGGCATGCCGGGGACTCGGCAGCGTGGGGAGGAGGGGAGGAACTACCGACAACGCTGCGTTTCCTCAAGAGAAGGGATTTGTGCAGCAAACCGATGAATTTTTTCCAAGAGGTTGATCGTCCTAGTGTGTGTGGTGCCGAGGTGTGGTCGCTGTGTCAGCCCGTACCTTGGGGTTGGCCTCCAGGTAGTTGTACAGGACGTTAACCGATATGGTCAGGTCGCCGCTGTTGAAGGGGTACGGTCTGTTCCAGCCCTGAGGGCCGAACTTGCGCCGCTCGGCCACCACCGCGTGGAAGTAACAGAGCGCGAACAGGATGCCTTTGAACTCGGTTTCTTTGCTGCACATCTCTAACGTGTCCTGCAGTGGGATCGGAAGGAGAGCGGGTTTGCAAGGGAACGAGCGACTGTCGCTGTCGGCCAGCGCTCCATGGGGGAAAATTAACAGGTGATGGCAAAGGAGAACTGAAGGTTGGTTGTTAAAAAAAAAAGCATAAAATAATCTCTTAAAGATACGCTACTTTGTTAATTTTTGCATTCATTTGTTTGTAAAAAAATTACAAATCCACACGTAGACCCGCTGACAACGGAGGCGCTGGTTTGTGGCACCAGGCTGCGGCAGCTCGACGTTCAGCCGCAGCAAAGGCACCAGTCGCTCAGCACCCTCCCTGGTTCGGGAACCCTCGGGCAGCTCTAGTCACCCCTAAATCACATCCCGACGAGGGGGGGCTCTGGATGGGCCTGGGGTGGGCTGGCTCCTGGCACAGCGTCCGTATCTGTAGTGACACCCCCACTCAGCCTGTGGGATCCCGGGGACGGTGTGAGCCCGACACACTGACCCAAAACGGTGGAGAGGAACCGGCTGTGCCCGGCACGGCCGTGGTGGGGAGTGTGGTGGGGTGAGGGTACCTGGCTGAAGAGATCCAGGGCCTTGTGCAGGTTGGCATGCATGCCCGTCGGCGGCTCGTTGGTGATTTTGATGGCATTTTCCAGCAGTCCCTGGGGGATGACGTGCGCCTCGGGGCTGGGGGCTGGCTCAGCGCTCATGAACACGCGGTAGTCGGCATGGCTGCCCAGGCTGTACTGCTCCACCCTCTTCTCCAGCGTTCCCAGCCACCGGGTCACCAGGTGGATGTTCTGCAGCAAGAACCCTGCCTGTACCACTTGGCCTGAAGTACAACCTCAGGAATCACTCATCCACTCCGCACCTTCCTA